CAAGCACGGATTTAATACCACGAAACAGCAGCCACACTCATGCATTATTTATTGTGTGGTATCCGGACAGGAGCACCTGCAGAACGAAGTGAAGACGTTTTAATCCTGATCGGTGCTGCTCGATAAGCTCAGGACCTTCTGTCATGAATATATCCAGATAAAGCATGAATGTTTGACTTTACCGCTACGTTCAGGTGTAGCGGGAGGTGAAGCGACATGAGCCCGTCTGTGATCCAAACCGTCAGAACAGGGACACACTGTCAGAGAACCGAAGCACATCGAAGTCCTGCCTCGTGACTTCCTCGGTGACGTCGGCTGATGACGGAATTTTTAATTAAAAATGGAGATCGCTCACATTGCCTGAGTTGGCAGCAACAGATGATGTTTTTTTTTGTTGTTCTGCAGGAATTGAATTTAGTCTTGTCAACCGTCTCAGGTTCATACATTTATAGCAACAGCCTGAGCAAAGTGCTTCCAAATGAGAAATAGCATCGACATCACGAATAAATCCAGACAGTTTAAATATTTAGGTGAAGACCCTACATGGTTGAGTATGAATTTGTCTGAGCAATTTAAACTTTCAGGATTAAATCCCTACAAAAAAAATGTATAAAACAAACTTTATCTGAATGTGATTAAACCTTAAACAGGATTGGCGAGAATGGAGATGACTCATTCAGACCTGAAACAGAAATATACATGACAACAACAAACCCGAGGATTCCCTAAAAGCATGCTTTCATTTTTGTTATTTTGCACTTTTACGTGTACTTGAATTAATGTTTTCTTATTTGTACTTGTGACTGTGGAGGGGAATGACGGTCAGGGTGAGGGTCAAGGCGGAGACAGAACAGGACGACTGATAAAAACAGACGCAAAACGCAATCCAGCACTAGACAGCAGGAAGAGGAGATGGACATTCAGACCCAAACATCACCAATCTATGGAGACCCCCACATCCACCGTGTCCAGGTTGACGCCAGATGAAGGTCTCGTGTGACTTCCGAGACTAAAAGAATCTAAGAGGCTTAGAAACGAGCGCTGAAGCTACCAATGACCTACATTTTAGTTTATGATTGTGAAGCTGCACGTGCTGCACAGCAGGCATCACCGCTAACAGCATCATCAGAACAGGAAACTCTTAATCGCCTTTTCCCTCCATTCCTGCTCCCTTCCTGTTCCCCTAAACCTCACTTACTGTCAACATCCCGTCTAAACGAGCAGAAACAACGGCTGCTGAGAATAGCAGCGTGCTGACACACGGCGGCCGGCCGCAGAGTTATGGGCCAGGTGTCGGCCTGAGAGCGGAGCAGCTGTGCACGGCACACGCTAACGTGATCAGGACACGCCGAGCACGCCATGGCTCACGTCCGTAATCAGGCTGTTTGTGTGATAATGTGGAGTGATATGGATCAGACGTCTAAATTGAACTGACTCACATGTGGAGGTTGCTAAAATTACAGAGTTAAAAATGCAAAAGCAGATTCATCCGTCAGACAGAAAACAGACGAGGATGTAACTGGAGTGACCCTGTAACCCTGTAACCCTCACCTGCAGCTTCTTGTCAACGCGCCGTCCATTTTAATTAATAAATTCTAATCATTGTGGTTTTCTGATCGTGTCTCTGCTTCCCAGTATTAAAGGAGCTCACACTCAGATGTGAGCCCGTCTTTGTAGGAACACTTTGGATCTGCACATTACTCACGGCCCGTCCTGTGAATTCACACACAGGCGCTAATCACTGCAGCACCCTTGTTGTGTCGTGGGCGGCAAACAAACGTGTGCGCCGCTAATCACAACGTTTCCTCTCGCAAATCAAAGCAAGTGATTTGACTGATTCAGTCAACGAGCTGCACAATCATCCTGTGATCCTTTGCAGGGCAACCAGGAGACCATCATGAACCCAATCAGCTCCACAATGCAGTTAAAATGCGTAACTTCCAGCTCGCTCTACTCGTGTCATTAACCTTCTCAGAGGAGCCAGTGGAGATGCTTTACCGCACCAGAACCAGAACCAGAACCAGCTGCTTCGCAGCGAGATGACCCTGGACTCCACAAAGCTTGTGTATGTGTGACTTGATGATTTACATTTATTCCTGCCTAAAAACACACCTTTACCCTTACATGTGGTGCTCTGGGACTTGCTTTGTGTCATCCTGATGTGACCTGGTAAACTGAACAAAACCTGGACCACACACAGACGCACAAATGTACAAATCTGAACTCATCGTGAGTCCGTCTACATGATGTGCATACCAGAATAACAGGGACAAGGTTCCCTGGTTGCTATAGGAACGTCCTCACCTCACAGCTGATTAGAAATCTCTTTGATGATGAAGTGGTTTTCTGTGCAGCGAACGCACACATCTGTCCAGATGAGTGTGTGGATGGGCTTGACCTGCACAGACTGGTAAGGAACAGAGTTTGCTGCAAGGCACACAGTTAATGCCGCTGACTGCCGTCTCACAGCATCTTCATTTAAATGTTTATACACATTTTTGTTCATGTGTTTTGAAGGATGTGGTGAACAGCTGTTGGAAATGGGGCAGCGACTGTGTAGCTGGAAAGTTGAGCCGCGGCAGCAGAGCCTCATCCAACACGCCAGATGGTCCGAGTGTGTGTTTGTCGTCCGCCGTGACTTTGTTAGTCGGGATATGTGTTTGTGCGTTACTCTCGCTCCTGTATTTTATTTACAATTTACAATTTCATTTAGCTTTAATCCAAAGCGACGTACATCTGAGATTAGATCACATTCGTACGACAGAGCTGCCATGCAAGGTGCTGCCTGCCATTGGGAGCAACTTCGGGTTCAGTGTCTTGCCCAAGGACACTTGGACTGTGGAGGGGCGGGGCATTAGAGGCCAACCCGCTCTACCACCGGAGCCACAGCTGCCCCGAGCAGCTACATCCAAGTTAGAGAGTCACACGTAGACAATTTATAAAAAAATACATAAAAAATGACGACACGAGGCCGTGCTGGTGAAACCTGCTTAAAGCGTCAAACACATCTCAGAGAGTCGATCTGACCAACAGTACAGAGGTGAATAGGGTGGCAAATTATCCTTCTTTCAACGTGCAGATCTCTCAGAGAAGCACAGCGTTCATGTTATAAACTACTCCCTGGGAACGTGTGTGTCATTGGAGCTGTAGGATTCAGCTGTAGCGCCCCCTGCTGTGCTCATGTGTTTGTTGCATTCAAATAACTACTGCGCTTTTTCATGCATCTTTCCCATAAAGTGACCACGGACCGGTTGTTTTCCTCCTCTGAGACACTGATAGCATCCTTTACTGGTGGAGGATCACATAGATCATCCTGCTACATCCGATTCAGCGACTGGAGCAAACCTGCATCACCGCTGTTCCCGGATATCTGCTGTGTTGTTGTACTGAAGCAGCAGAAAACAGCTTCTGTCTATCAGCGTAAACTAGCAAATGTCACCTATTGAAAGCAGTTCCTGCCACAAAGATGCAGAAAACTGGGTGCTTGTGAATAAACAAGTGGAGTGCAGCTTCCAGGAGAGCAGCTGTGACTGTGGGAGATTATACACAAAGAACCCAGAGTCAGGAATTAATTGGAACAAATCCATTTTTATAAAGCGCATGAACCGATTCTGGCAATCTTCACCTTGTATGACCGTCCTGTCGGATTTCTGTAAATACTTTACCTCCACATATGTTTTAAATGTGTGTTTTCTGCCTGGCTGGTGGACGTCGTGGTGCCGGTTGGTGCCGGTTGGTGCCATGAGTGCAGCTGGTCAGCAGCATGGGTCCTCCTCGCTCCCACTCCGGTCTGCTGCTCTGCTCAGCGGGCTGCACTGCCCTCCAGTTGGTGTTTTTTCTCATGTCCTAATGTGCAGTAATGCAACTTTTTCAAGAGCTGCCTTCAGCACCTGATTCTGTTTTTTTATCGCAGCATTCGTGTCTCCATGTAACCGAACAAAGACAAAGAAAACACTGTGACCTTGTGTCTGGATGTGGAAGGTGAAGCTCAAGCAGGCGTTCACTCCCTCCCAGAGTCATGGACGCTGCTCTCGTAAAACCTAACTGGCCGAGTGCCTGTGAAGATCATGTGTTAGTGTGAGAGGAGGCAGTAGAGTCTTCCTGCAGCTGTCCTAAGTTCTGCATGTCATGTTTTTGCAGCTGACTGTGTTTAATTTAATGCCTTGACTTGTGTAGATGAACGTGAAAAACAAACATTAACTGTTTCAGTGTCATTTGCCAACATGAGACACAACTTTTAAATCTTAGCACGTCACTTTTAAGGACATTTCACGTGCCGTCTTAATGCATTTTCAGTTTTTGGTGCCGTTTTGTCACCACATCAGACGAGATTGTGGTGATTGTGTTTCTCGTCCTGTGTTTGCAGGATCAGCAGGTTCGTTCCCCGGTCGGCCTCAGCACGCGGCGGCCACGTCGCTTCAGTTGTTTTAAAAGCCGCTGTGCTGCACCAGGCTGCCAGAAACAGAAAGGTGGTGCAGACAGGAGACACACCTGTGTTACCAAGACGAGATCAAATTCATTCACTGTTTAACGAACTGCAGCGTGACCAGGCTGCTATTTTGTCGACGCTATTTAAGCCACTTGCAGCCATTTGACAAGCAGAGATCACTTTCACGGTCTTATCCATTCTTTAAAGACTTCAGTGTCCTGACCCCTCCAAGTACAGCAGCTGTTTATCTGGTGTGTTTGTGAAAGAAGCTCTGCAGTCATGACGCTGTCCGATAGGAGCTGTGTTCCTAAAACATACATTTTTTATGTCAGGTGCTGATCTCGGGGATTTTTCAGATGCTGAATGAGGAAACTGCTCTGGTTGAATAAACGACCACATCATAGACAAACTGTGAAACTATGAGGATGTGAAGCGATATCTGCGTCTGTGGTCTGTGCTTTGCTTGGCACGCTGTTTGTTTTCTTCTGTGAAGCAGTTCAACAAGTCAGTCATGCTCGTCCTCAGAGCTTCCCTTTGGGAGTTTTGCCAGTTACCTGTCTTGCTTTTTGTGGCTGTTGTTTGTGTTTAGTCCAACACGTTAGCTTGAGTTTGTAGAAGGAGGAAGACTTGATCGAACACTGTCACCTTTGAGAAGCGTCGTATTTCTTGACTGCTGACTACAGAGAAGACGAGAGCTGCGACACTCAACATGTTCCTCAGAATTCTGCTGATTTTCTCCGGAGCGTTTTGCGTCTGTGCAGAAAGTGAGTACGGCTTTTTCCCTGTAGCTGTTGCATCTTTAAATTTGCCTCTAAACTGACACATATGCAAGTTTATTTACACGTTTTTTAATGAATTCGCTGGTAATGTTTTGAACAGTACACTTTTTTTTTTCTTTTTCCAGAAAGTCTTGAGTTGTGTCACGTCTTTGGATGCTATGATTCAAGTGACACTCAACTGTGCACGACGCTGGACGATGACGAAGTCTACTACGCAGACTTTAAAAAAGAGATTCTTATTTGGGATAGTAAAATACCTTCAAGTTTTCATGTTCCCTGGGCTTACAAATATGCACTGAAATACCGAACTATGTGTAAAGGTGACATGCAAAGATGGAAAACAGACAAGTCGATCATAAAGAAGAAGAGTGAGTGATATTTAACCTGATGCCAGTCACTGTTCAGATGTGATATTCTAAACATCTAGCACCATTTTATTTCAAATAGAAAGCTAAATATATGGTTTAACCCTCAGAGCCTCCAGATATCATCATGTACTCCAGAGATGAGGTGGTAAAGGAGGAAGATAACACCCTCATCTGCTTCATCAACAACTTCTTCCCTCCCAAAATCAACATCACGTGGACCAAGAATGACATAGAATTAACAGAGGAAGAGCCTTTCATTACATTTTTACCCAATCCTGACGGGACGTTCCATTTTTTCTCCCGTCTGGACTTCACCCCGACAGACGGAGACATTTACAGCTGCACGGTGGAGCACGAAGCGCTGGAGACGCCTCAGACCAAGTTTTGGGGTGAGAACAAAGAAACATCTTGAAATGTAGAAACTACAATTGTAGGTCGATTTGAGATTTAAAGGTTTTTCATTTCAGATTGACACCTTTTTCTCCCGTCCTCTGCAGAAGTTGAGATCGAGGAAGCCAGCAGTGGTCCAGCCATCTTCTGTGGCCTCGGCCTGACTCTGGGAGTTCTGGGAGTTGTTGGAGGAACATTCCTCTTTGTGAAAGGAAACCATTATCAGGGCGTCCTGGAGCCTTCTGGTTGACACGTGGGACACATCCAGACTGGCTTTGTGTTTGCTGGCAGTTTGTTTTGGTGCCACTTTCTCCCGTCTCTTGCTTGCTGATATCAGTCTGTCAGGAATGAAGGTTTTTCTTTATAGTTTGTGTTGTCACTTGTTTATCTGTTTTGCTTTGTGAATCCATAACTCACAATAAATACATGATTTATATTTTCCAGTTGTGTCACTGTTGCTTGTTTGGAGGAGTGTATGAATCATATATTGTGCGTGAACAACCAGTAAAGGTTGAAGCTTCGCCTCATTCCTGCAGTGATTATAACTTTTGCCCAGAACAAAGGGCGGGGCTTCAGCTGAGCAACAGGGCGGGTGCATTCCTTCATTTTGCTGGCATGTCAGGATAGCTGCGTTTATCTGTGAGCACATAAATGTGAGCACAACAGAGGAGGCTTGTTCCTGTTCACCGGTAAACATGCACATTTATCATTTCATCTTTTGTGCGGTTTTCTCTCTCTGCAGTCCAGGTGAGTTGCATCACTCTTCTATTTAAATGTTTCAATGAAATGTGGAGTTTCAGGCAAAACTATAGAAATTGATGTGATATTAATACGTTTGTCTTTTTTGTCACAGTTTTCTCAGATGAAGATTTTTACCAGTCCAGAGCTTGTTGCACATTCAGTGGTTCACACTATGATGACATGGAATATACACTTAAATTTGCTTTTAACGACAACCTTATGATGGAGTTCAACAGCACGAGAGGCAACTGGACGGGATTCACACCCTATTCAGTTATGGTTGCACACACCTGGAGTAGTGATCCCTTTGACGCAGTTGTAAGAGCGGTGGAGAAGAAGCTGTTGTGTGAAGACAACTTAGGCCTCATCCAAGACTTCGGTAGGAGAGCGTTGTTTTAATTGTTTTTTTGTGCTGTGACACACGTACAGAGCCTTTCTACAGCAGACGACTGAACAGAAACAAGCTGCTTTAGCATTAATGACGGGGCCGAGCGTCACTGGGCTCACAGGGAGCTACATGGAGCAGAGCCGGTGTTTGTGTTAGGCAGTCACATCGTCTGGCATGAGTGTGATCAACGGCCATGTTTGTTTTTGTATAAAGTTGAACTTTTTTTCCAGCTGTTCTTGGATCTGCACCGACCATCAGGCTGAAGGCAGTGAAGCAGCCGCCCATGCTCGTGTGCAGCGCTTATAACTTTTACCCGAAAGAAATCGAAGTGACGTGGTGGCGACACGGACAGAAAGTGACCACAGGGATCAGTTACTCTGAAGCGCTGGCTGATGGGGAGTTCTACTACCAGATCCATTCCTACCTGGAGGTCACCCCGACTCTTGGAGACAACATCTCCTGCATGGTGGAACACCACAGCCTCTCTGAGCCGGTGGTCGTGGTCTGGGGTAAGACCTGTACTGGGATGCACAGCATACACAGTATGAGCAAACGCCAGATGATCAACAGAAGCATGTGTTTGTCTCTGTTTCAGACCCGTCCCTGCCGGTGGCACAACGGGCTCAGATCGCTGTCGGACTGTGTGGACTCATGCTTGGTTTGGCTGTTTTCATCTGTGGACTCATTTACTACCAGAAAAAGCCTGCTGCCTACGTCAGTGTCGGCCACGGTGAGGACATGACAGGAAATGAAACATGGAAGTGTTGAACGTTTTGCCTCTGTAACGTGTTGTTGTTGTGGTGGTTTTACCAGGACGGGTGATGATTCCTGTGGAACACCTGCCTGCAGGTGGAGCCACGTTGCAGCCTGACATCGCAGCCCCGGATGAAGCACACACATGGAAATGAAAGCTATGTGTTGTGATTGTTGGTACATTTAAGACCAGTTGTTCCTAAACACATGTATTTGCAGAGGTGCTGGTTCCAGTTAGCCGGTTAAGCCTCCATTAGATGTATGAATGACATGTTCAACAACAACCAAATAAAGCTTCAGTTTATATGAAGGAAAGTCTGTCTCTTTGATTGGTTATTGGCATGCTGAGCCAACCTCCAGCTGCCGGACACGCATACAAATAAATCTCATCTTTTTTACTGTATTTTCTTTCAGTATTTCTTTTGCATTATACGGGTGGTAAATGTGATTTAGAGAGAAGTGATGATTGTTTGATAGGATTTATTCAAGGCACATGATGACTGAGAGGGCAGCAATGACGTTAATGAAGGTGACCCTATGAAATCAAATGATCATTATTATTTAATTGTATTAAATCAGGACAACACTTCAAATGCAACAGTCTGGTTTTCAGACGCTTTTAAACAGACAACGTTATGAAATAAAACATGACATTATGAAATAAAAGCGACATTACGCAGTCAGAAGAATCAGCAAAGTCATTTTGGAAAATACCGTCATAAAATAAAATCCGACTTCTCACATTTATTGCTGTAAACAAACAACATTTAACCAAATGAGTTGGATTTTAATCATTCCAGTCATTCCACAAAGTGTTCATTTCAATCTTTTACACATCTCCTTATTTCATGATGTGTTTTATTATTTTATTGATCATTTAAAAAAAACAAACAAAACAAAACATTGAAAGTCGACTACAGAGTGAAGTCGGTACGAGGAAGTTACAACTCTGACAGACACAAGGTCGGCAGGTTCTTGCTGTGTTTGTGTGATTTCAGTCCGATTACTCAGTTTTTAAAGTACTTTCAACTTTAGTCCAGTTTATCAGCAAGAGATTGGGCGTTTATAGTTGTTTAGTTCAGTGGATTATACACAGGCTGCAGGTGGATCAGTGGTTAGCACCGTGGCCTCACAGCTAGAAGGTCGCCGGTTTGTGTCCCGGTGAGGACACCCGGGATCTTCCTGCGTGGAGTCTCCATGTTCTCCCCGTGCAGCGTGGGTTCTCTCCGGGTTCTCCGGCTTCCTCCCACAGTCCAGAAACATGCTGAGGTTAATTGGTGATTGTAAATTGTCCGTAGGTGTGAATGTGAGTGTGCTTGGTTGTCTGTCTCTAAGTGTAGCCCTGTGATAGACTGGTTACCTGTCCAGGTGAACCTGCCTTCACCCTGAGTCAGCTGGGATAGACTCCACCCCCCATGACCCTAGTGAGGGTTAAGGTGTAGAGATGATGGATGGATGGATTCTACACTCTTTGGTCACTTTACTAGCTACACTTTGTAGTACCGGGTCGGGCCCCCTTTTCCCCTCAGAACTGCCTTTGTTCTTCTGTGCAGAGCTTCTACACGGTTCTAGAAACATTCCTCAGAGACTTTGGTCCATATTGACATGACAGCATCACGGTGCAGATCTCCCGTTGCACCGTGTCCCAAAGCGACTCAGTTGGATTGAGACCTGGTGCCGTTGGAGGACAGTGAACGCATCACAGGAAGGATCCAAAGTGAGCTAGAAAAATATCACAGCACCAGCAGCCTGGACCGCTGGGGCACTGGATCCATGTTTTCGTCTCTGACCCTGTTGTCAGCTGAAATGAAGAGTCATCAGACCAACGGTTTTGGTGAACTGCAGCCTGAGCTTCTGTTCTTAGCGGACAGCAGCTCATGTGGTCTTCTGCTGCTTCATCTGTTTCGATGTGCCTTCAGAGACGGTCCAGGTGTTACTGGAGATGCCTTTCTGTCTGGTTCTCCTCTGACCTCTGGCATCAACAAGGCACAGAGAGCTGCTGCTACTGGATGGCTTCTCTTTTTCAGACTGGTCTCCATAAAGGCTGGACGTGGTTGTTTGACAGAGTCCCAGCAGATCAGCACCCATCTGGAACCAACAGTAAAAATGTCACATGTGAAGTCACTGAAATCAACTTCCTTCCACATTTCGATGCTCAGTTTGAACTTCAGCAGGTCGTCTTGACCATGAAATCCTCCCCATCTATCACCTCATACAGTGACTGCAGGAGCTCCTCTGACAGCAACCTGCTCGGACTCGGCGTCTCGGCGCGATTATTACGTCACTGCTGTCGCTCAATTCAAATGTATGAGGCTGGATGGTGATGACGGTTTCTCCTGGGTGAGGGTCGGACACCAGCGTCCTTCCTTCTGTCCACGTGTCCACTGACTCATTAGAACGCTCACAGGACGAGCTTCATCGGTGAACACAGGCGTTGATCTGACGCTGCATCACCGTTTCCCTGCCGACATGAAGCATCATTTAACGTATTTGCTAGTCTGACCCTCAGAGCCTCCAGAAATCATCGTCTACCCCAGAGAGGAGGACAGTACTGTCGTCTCCCCCTCCCACCACCACCATCAACATCATGTGGACGAGAATAATGAATTAATTTAAGAAGTGCTTAGCGAGCCCTGAAGGGACGTGTTCTGTCCAGTCTGGACCTCGTCCCAGTGGAACCGACGTGTGGACGTGAAGCTCTGGAGGTAAAAAGAAGAAGAAGAATCACTGAATGTCTTTGTTTTAAATTTAAAGGTGAGACCGTTGAACTCTTGTGTTGAGCTGAGACGATGAACACCATCACGGGTCCAACCCTCTATCTGGGATCTGCCTCGACTTCTTGGAGCTGCCACAGGATCTTCTTCTTACTGGAGGAAGACGGTGTTGATGAACATCTGCAGTTTACTGTGTTTAATGTCCAGGGAGGGATTTAAACATGAACGTTTGCCTGTAAAGTGAGAACATGTTGTTTGTGCTGTGATGAGGTGACTCTCTGCAGACTCTCGTGTTGAACAGATGTCATCATTCACTTCTGTGAGCCTCCGTATGTCATCCTGTCATGCTTCCAGTAAGCACATCTGAGTAAATCTGACGTTGTTTTTTATTCATTCGAGCACCATATGTGAATCAGTTTGGAGGCTCTCTGTGTGTTTTGCAGTCAGCATTTATTTGCAGTGAGTTAACATGAGCGAACAAATGAGTTTATTCTGAGTCGACTGCCAACAAACAGATTCACAGTTAAACTTAGTGAACAGTAACAAGCAAACATGGGAGCTGGGAAAAGAAAAAATCTGCTTTTTTCCCTTCATTTTGCATAAAAAAGTTATTATTCATGTGCCAACTACAACGCTATGTGGTGAAGTTTCCCAAATAACGTTTTCCCAGAAGCATCGGTTCCTGCTGGCAGCTCCGTGACGCCGTTTGAACATCCAGCCAGTCTGGAGTTTCAAAGCAAAACACATTTGTTTGTACGTGCTGCTGTGTTGCCGTTGATCTCCTTTTCTGTTCCAAATATATTAACTTGATGTTTAAACATCACTGAAACACAAGTTGTCACACAGCGGCGCCGCTCCTGGTCGTCAGGTTGACCTTTTAAATCAGACGGATTTATTTCCTTGTAGCCAAACGCTCATAAATCCTCGGTGGCAGCGAAGCTTGTTTTGTGGGTTTTTATTCACATAAAAACATTCACTTTGTCTGCTCTCAGTCTGGGGGAGCGGTGTTTACCTTGTTTGTAGTCATAGATGTGTTACTAACACGTTTCTCCTGCGTCATTGCGGAGCTGTCAGATGAGATTTATTTTCAGTTTTCAGCCTGCTGTGCTCTCAGAGGCCAGTTTAGAGGATGCAGAGGACGACATCGTGTCAACAACAAAGTGCTGATGCAGCACAACAGCAGCAGAGGAAGTTGACCGATACACACCTTCGACAGGGACGTTCACAAAGATCTGTGTAGCTGCACAGGTCTAATGAAGCTTCACACTGGTGTCAACGGATGTTTATTCTTAATTCTTCTCTGTCTGTCCCACCGTGAAAACTAGACACAACAAACAAAATGCACATTAAAAACAGACATTTGTGGATCCTTTAGTCTCTCAGTTGGCATCCTCAGGTGAAGCAGCTCAGTGAGTTATCACGCAAATGCACCAAATAACACAAACACAAACCTGTGTAATCATACAACACTATGCATGAAATACAAACCAGATAAAGACAGTTACCGACTTGCACTACGTGTCTCTGTTACACATCCATGTTGATGGTGACCCACAATGCTACTCTCTTGACCTTACCAAAAAATAGTCATGTGACCTGACTTATCAAAATAAAACTCTAAAGAACACCTCACTTTTTAACTAAACATGAATTTTAAAGTGACCTTTTTTTTTTTCTTTTTTTTTTTAACAAATTCAAGGTTTCTTTTTGGTTCCAAAAAAAATAAAAAAGCTTCGTGTGCAGAATGTGTTGGCTCCACTTGAATAAAAGTGCATCAATAAAAGAATGAGGAAATAAAAGTGTTGTGCAGCCAGAAAGGCGTCACGGCCGGAATGCAGACAAGTATTTAGATACTTATGAGATAAAACCAGCGGTACGGCGTAAAAGCACTTCTCTACAAGTGAAAGTCCCGAATACAACATCCTAGTTCATTAAAAGTAAAAGTACTCATGTTGCTGAAGGCATCACATTAGTGCTGCAGCTGGACTTTATTTTAAAAACTTTATATTATATTAATCTGTAATGAGGCTGACCGCCGCCCAGTCCTCTCTGCTCCTATGATTCCCTCTGTGGGTGGTGGGTCCGCAGGAGGGCGGGCCCACGTCGTCCTTTCGGGCTGTGCCCGGCCAGATCCGTGGGCAAAGGCCCGACCACCAGGCGCTTGCATACGGGCCCCAACCCCAGGCCTGGCTCCAGGGTGGGGCCCCGGCTGCACCATACCGGGCGACGTCTCTCTCCTTGATTTTATTCTCTCCATAGAAGTTCTTGAACTGCCCTTCGTCTGTCCCGTCACCTAGAACCTGTTTGCCATGGGTGACCCTGCCAGGGGCATGAAGCCCAGACAACATAGCTCCTAGGATCATTTGGGCACACAAACTCCCCCACCACGATAAGGTGGCAGTTCGGGGGGGAGAAAGGAGCCAGCTGAGGTGGCTCGGGCATCTTTTCCAGATGCCTCCTGGACGCCTCCCTGGGGAGGTGTTCCGGGCCCGTCCCACCGGGAGGAGGTCCCGGGGAAGACGCAGGACACGTTGGAGAGATTATGTCTCTCGACTGGCCTGGGAACGCCTAAGGGTCCCCCCGGAAGAGCTGGAGGAGGTG